CTCGTTTCCATCACATAAGGAGTTAGAACAACACAAATACTTGGCTTTTCCATCGCATATGGAGTTGGATCAACATCATCACCTTAGTTCGATTCCATCACAGAAGAATGTGGATCAAAATTTTAGTGGAAGGGTTCATAATGAGAAGAACTCATCTGACGAGGGAGAAGAAGTTCATAATAAGAAGAACTTGTTCAACCTTAGCTCGTTTCTGTCATATAAGAAGTTGGAACATCACCAATACTTGGCTTATCCATCACATATGGAGTTGGATAAACATCATCACTTTTTTCGATTTTATCACAGAATGAGGTGGATCAACATTTTTAGTGGAGAATTCATAATGAGAAGAATTCATCCGATGAGGGAGAAGAAGCTCATAATAAGAAGAACTTTTTCAACCTTAGCTCGTTTCCATCACATAAGGAGTTGGAACAACACCAATACTTGGTTCATCTATCACATATGGAGTTGGATCAACATCATCATTTTGTTTGATTTCATGATAAAAGGAGGTGGATCAATATTTCCAGTTGAGAGTTCATAATGAGAAGAACTCATTTGACGAGGGAGTAAAAGTTAATATTGAGAAGAACTTGTTCAACCTTAGCTTGAGTCCATCACATAAGGAGTTGAAACAACACCGACTTTGGCTCATCCATCGCATAAAGAGTTGGATTAGCATAATCATTTTGCTTGCCCTTTACATAAGGAGTTGGATCAACATCATCATTTCTCTTGTCCATCACATAAAGAGTTGTATTAGCATTACCTTGGCTCATCCAACACTTAAGGAGTTGGATAAGCATCACCTTGGGTTAACCATCGCAAAGGAGTTGAGTCAATATTTCTGAGAGAATAAGTTCATAATGAGAAGAACTTGTTCAATCAGGTCATACCCATCACAGAAGGGAGTGGATTGACATCCCTAGAAAAGAATTCATAATGAGAAGAACTTTCCCGAGGAGAAGAACTTGTAGCGCCATAATTATAGTACATGCCATATAAAAAATGATGTTTATTATCTTTATTTCATTCATGTTCTATAACAATGAGCAAAGAGGGGCAGTTGTAATCACCATTTTTATCCCAAAAAAAATAAAAAAAAGAGTGTAAATCCCTCAATATCCAGGGCATTCAATGGCCCAATTATTTTTGTTTTCATTAGTAAAATCTCCTTGCCTCAACCCTCAGTCACTGTACCACCTACTCCAATAACTCCAAAAGATCATACCAACAATCACATACAAAAAATAAGGAAAATATAATATTTTATTATTTTTAATTGTAATATGGGTTATTATTTAAACCCAAATGGTAATTGTAAAAGGATCTTCTCATTCCCAGTTATTCGAATACAAAAAAACTTTTAAAGGTTATTCTCTTTCTTTCTTTTTTCCATATCATTTTGGTAGCATTTTGTTACTTCATTTTCTATTGTCGAAACAAAAAGTATGAAAAGGAGGATCTTTTGTTTACCTGAGTCATCGAGTCTCCTCGAAACTGGGATCATCGAGAGGAGTTGAAGGATAGATGGTTATCTAGGCCTATTAAGGAATAATTATCCTAAGTCTAGGTTTCATTTTTGAGATTACATATAAAAGGGTAGTTTTGGTTCTGTCCTAGGTCAATTTAGGCTCATTTGAATGTCATGGACGGAGTTTGGAGTGAAGAGCACCACCATAGAGGTATTCGGAGCTCATTTGGTTAGGTGGCTTTGTTGAGGGAGGCAATCGCATGGTTGGGGAAGAGAAAGAAGATAATGCGTGTTTTCTAAGATTTAGGGTTTACTTTATATAAAAAATAGAAAGTATTTAGCTCATACATTTTATTTTGGGATATTTTTGCTCAAGGCATTAAACTTTCAGCGACAATTTTCATTTAGTCACTAAATAATGTTTAATCTTGAATTTATTCCGAATTGCACGCCCTTTATGAAAATTACTCCCTTTTGTTTCATTTGTAATCTGATTAAAAAAAGAGAAAACTGCTTTTGTACCCCTAAACCTTTAGCGTATTTTACACTTTAGTCACTGATGTTACGATTTTTTCTTTTTCAAATTTTATGTCCTGATTGTGTAAATTTTCCATTTATTATTTTTTCTGCAATCCATTTAGACTTTTAGATTGAATTGAGCCTTGATCCCTCTAATTTACCCATGTTTATGCAGTTAGGTCACTGCCCTAATTCTTATATTTTATGTTTGATTTCAATTTTTATTTTAATTTGGTCACTGCATTGCAAATTGTGTAATTAACTTAGATCTAGTCCTTCGACTATTTTGATGTTTTAATTTAGTACTTATATTAATTTTGTTAATTAATTATAGTATTAATTTTGTTATGTAAATTCATGTTGTAATTTGTAAATTATTAATTTTATTTCTTTAATTTTAATTCATTCTTGCATGCTTATTGATTCTTTAATTTTACTTGTTTTAATTCACTTGCCTTTAAGTTTAGTATTTTTCTTTAATTAATTAGACTTTAGGATGAATCTTTTAGATTTAATTCTCCTTAATTTAGTCCATAGTTGGAGCCTTAGACTTCGAATTTAAACCTTTAAACTTAGATTTTTCACACTTCAATCCTCATACTTATGAATTAGGAATAATATGAATTGGCTTCCGCATTTAACATGCCGGGAGGACCATTTTAATTATTCGATGAAATAATCTATAAAATTAATTAGGTCATTAACTAAAGCCTCCGCTTTAGGTTTAATATCACTTTATTCCTTTAATTTAGGGAGTAATCTGAGTTGGTCCTCGCCTAAATGCTCAAGTGACCATATCGATTCAATAACTGGTTAAAATCAAGTAGGATTAATATTAGAGCCTTCATTTTTAGGTTTGTGCCTCTAGGTTATTTAATTATTCATAGTTTGAAAATTTAAGCTAGGGAAAGCCTTAATTTCCCTTAGTTTAATTAGGATTAATAATACATTATTTGATTGGATCATGTTTTAAAATTTAAGGCAATGTTCACTTATTAAGGAGTCAATAGTATATCTCCCACAAGAATGCTCAAGGGGTGACTACAGATGATTCCCAAAATAGGTCGACATCCTTTTCAAGATCGCATCATGATTTCTAAAATATCGAGGCAATGTATGGTTATTATGCACAATATCTGATCTCCCACATTCATGCTAGGGGTGAATATTATTGGCATTAATAAACGAATACCCTTTTCAACTTTGCATCTGTAATGATTTTTAAATTAGATAAAGTTCAAACTCTAAATTTTGATTCTAAATATAGGGAAATCAACTAGGTACCAATTTTTGGGCGCTGTGGGGTGCTAACCCTTCCCCACATATAACTGACTCCCGAACCTATTTTTTGGTTTTCGTAGACCCTAAACTTGGTATTTTGATAAAAATGTTTTATTAAAATCTCCCGATTTTTATGGTGTCCCGATCACACCTTAAAAATGATAGGTGGTGACTCCTCACATTTCAAAACCTTTTTAAAGAAAAGTTGTACCAGGTTTTTCCCTGCCCAGGCGAAAAATGATGTCAACCAGAATATAATGGGTAAAATACACAAATGGTCTCTCAACTATACATTGATGCTTTGATAAGTCCTTCGACTATTAAAAGTTTTAAAATGGTCCTCAAATTATAGAATGTTGCTTTGTTATGCCCCCGATTATTAAAAGTTATAAAATAGTCACCTAACTATTCATATATTCTAAACTCGTCTATTTTTGTTAAAAATTTCTTGTCATCTTAGCTAGAAGTTAACTTGTTGATTGAGAAACGATAAAATTTGATCATATAACCATTTGAGTTGCATTTTGTGAATTGTCTCTATTACATTATACCATCAAGTCAGTGCTTGAAAGCCACGACGATGTCGGTAAACATCATTAAAATATGATTTTATCATATCTCAATCAGCAAGGTAATGTTCAACTCAGACAACTATCATTTTTAATGTAAAAAGTCGATTTTGAAATATATGAATAACCGAGTAATCATTTTATAACTTTTAATAGTCGAGGGAATCAACAAAAAATGCCCTATAATCAAAGGACAATTTCGTAACTTTTAATAGTCATGTGACTCAACAAAGCAATGCCTTATAATCAGGAGACCATTTGTATACTTTACCCAAATATAATATCATCCCTTAAAGGAAAAAGAAAAGAAAAACAAAAAAGCATAGAAAATACTAGTAAATGATACAATTATCAATATTCTATGTCAATGGTTTATCTTGGTAAAAAAAATGTCAATGGTTTATCAAACCGGCCTAAAATGATTCAAACTTTGTTCTTTGCATTTGATATTTCATTCATGGAAATCTGACTCATGTGACTATGATCTTCACACGGGATTTTCTGTCTTTTTTTTCTTCGGGGAAGAATCTGGCTCATACTGGTTGCATAGCACAACCGGCATGCTTGTTCATCTCCATTACATGTTTTGTCATGCTTATCACCCATAGTCAATCGTCTATGTTTTTCTCCAGTTTCATTTGCAGCAATGCAGGTCTTGTTCTTCTTGTTGCCTATCAAACCTAACACACATAAGTTTCCTTAATTTGATCCCATCTGCTTGTTATAATCATTACATTGAGGAAATTACATAATAGTCATGTGACTCAACAAAGCAATGCCTTATAATCAGGAGACCATTTGTATACTTTACCCAAATATAATATCATCCCTTAAAGGAAAAAGAAAAGAAAAACAAAAAAGCATAGAAAATACTAGTAAATGATACAATTATCAATATTCTATGTCAATGGTTTATCTTGGTAAAAAAAATGTCAATGGTTTATCAAACCGGCCTAAAATATGAATTCAAACTTTGTTCTTTGCATTTGATATTTCATTCATGGAAATATCTGACTCATGTGGACTATGATCTTCACACGGGATTTTCTGTCTTTTTTTTCTTCGGGGAAGAATCTGGCTCATACTGGTTGCATAGCACAACCGGCATGCTTGTTCATCTCCATTACATGTTTTGTCATGCTTATCACCCATAGTCAATCGTCTATGTTTTTCTCCAGTTTCATTTGCAGCAATGCAGGTCTTTGTTCTTCTTGTTGCCTATCAAAACCTAACACACATAAGTTGTCCTTAATTATGATCCCATCTGCTTGTGTATAATCATTACATTGAGGAAATTACATTGTTAAATTTCTTGTAGTGCACGTGGAATTCGTTATAAAGGTAATGAGTATCATAAAATATATTAAAAAAATAGAACTTGTCATAAGCACTAGAAGAAAGTTGTATGAAACTCGTCATGTCCTCATGTCCTAAATTAATTCTCAAGCACCTACATTTTTCAATATTTTTCTGCCTTGATTATTTGGCCAACGAAATCGACATCCAACAACTCTTGTAATCAGGGATGGACCCTTAACCGCACCCTAAAAGTTTCAAATTATCATATATTTTAGATATTTTTTTATATTTTTTATTGATAATATGTTTTCACCCCTAAAACTTTACAAGTTGACCTATCCTGTGTTTGTCCCTACTTGTAATATCACCTACGTTACCCAAACCATGTTTTTCACTAGTTTTGACAATAATAACACTCGTCACCTAAGTTACTCGAGTGTTCTGACACCTATGTGCTATACATGTTCCGATATGGGACATAAGGGTATGAATAATGATCCTCCAAGTATCATTATGCGCAAAATAGAACAGGATTGAGAGAGAGAGGGAGAGAGAGAGGGAGAGAGAAAGAGAGAGAGAGAGATGTGAACCAGATATTAAGAGGGCGAGCAAATTATTTCCATGCAAATGAATGGGAGTTTGCTTGTTATGGCAAGCCAGCGAAGAAAGGAACATAGTGATTCCCGTGCATGAGTTGGAAGGCTGAGGATACTTTTGGAGCAAAGAAACCTGGAATTGATTAGGAACTCTTTGATAGCTTGATATGGGAAGTAATGAGGACTGCTTAATCACAACCATATTAGTCAATGCAACTGTTTGACAATTGAAACCAAAATTTAATGAGAACTAAAATTAAGTAGCACGAAAATATAGTTCAAAGATTTCAGATCTTTACTTTTTCATCTAGATTTTCACCAAGGCTAAACATTGCAAAAAGTGACATTTCTATGTTCACGCTCAAAAATAACATTGAGCATCTCTTCTCCCCACCCCACCCCACCCCCACTTAATCTGAAACGGAATCAAATAGTAATGACTGGATTCGAATGTCTCCCCAATATTGCTACAAGTAAAGGGATTTGAGTGTCACTCCTGTCCGAAGTATGCTTACATTAAGGGTATTTTACTGTTTGACAATGTTAACCAAGGCCATATCTCAGTCATTACAACCATATTAAAAAAGCAAGGAGAACCCTTCAGGAAATGAATTGAATTAATATTTTACCTTTCAACAACAAGAAATGAAGCGCATTGATAGTTACCTTGTCTATTGTTGAATCTTCTGAAGACAACCAGATTGACTATATCCCAAAGGCAGAAGGTGAAATCCTCCGATGCAGATATCAGATGAAATCCACTAATAGTCAATGCAGTTATTGACTCACAGCACATAAGATTCGATTATTCAAGTATCTTTGTGGGATTTATACTTACATATGGACAATGCAATCATTGATACAAGAATAACTTTAATGCCAAATCAACAGAAGCCTTCAATAAGTTTCAGCTTACAGTAAAACTTTAGAAATTTCAACAACCATACATTACACATTACTTGTGTCCTTTTAGCACAAATGCTTGATCTTCCATAGTGACGAACAAATCCTCAACTGCTCCAACATCAAGCACTTTAACAAATATTTTTCCATTTACACTACCAGAAAACAAGAAATGCTCTAGCGGATGAAGAGCAATGGCTGTCACTGATGATGGATAAACTAGAGTTCTTAAAAGCCTTCCTGAAAGTAGTTCCCAAACCTACTAATATGGATTTTTTAGCCTTGCATAAGAATGTTGCAATGCAGCAGATAAAATAAATTGATGCTTGAAGTAATGTCGTGTTTAACTGACCTTGCATGATCCATCAAGAGAACTCGATACGAAAATGGAACTTGCACCAGCTGACATAGTTACTAACCCAGTTATAGAAGATCTGTGTTCCTATGAGTAATGCAGCAAAGAAGGTGAGCTTCCAGAATCTTCTTTGTCTAGCAAACTTTAATCAAATTGGTTAGATTGGGACATTGAAAGGTTCGTTTTCTAGTTTAACATAAATTATTTATTAGTCGGTAGCAAACTGGCAGAGGAATAAAATGAATTTTTACCTAATCATAGACCAAACACAGACAATTCCATCAGTACCACCACATATAAGAAGCGAATCATCACCAGAAAATACCATACACTTCAAAGATTTATGATGAGCATGCCATGTTCTCAGCAATCTTCCGCTAGTAACCTGATCAATTACATCATATCATAAAAATGCTGAGACAGAGAGCTCGTTAGTCTTAATGAAGTTGACACTTTAGCTTTTAGGTTTTAGCACCGAAGTTAAATAATTGATAATAATCATTATAAGTCCTTTGGGGTGCACACGTAGCATCGATACAGTCGTTCATAAACATATTATGAATATCGTGGGTTGTACACTTAGAGCCGATACGGTCGTTCATAAACATATTATTAATTCCATGGGTTGCACACCTAGTGCCAATACGGTCGTTCATAAAAATATTATGAATTTCGTGGGTTGCACACTTAGTACTGATACGGTCATTCATAAACCTATTATGAATTTCATGGGTTGCACATTTAGTGCTAATAGTACACTTAGTACTGATATAACAATGCAACATATGCATTTGACAACATGCAACTATAACTCTTAATGTAAATAATAAATGCACTCACCTGGTACGCCTCGTTAATATGCTTTCAGGATGTCCACCTATTCGACAACCTTATCTTTGCCCTTTTTCTTGCTTGACTCGGGAGCTTGGTTACGATCTACACAAGCATCCAATAAGTACACATACCATTCCAATGTTAGTATACTCTCTAACATTTATACTTTTAATAATACTTAAAAGTACTATTATATTCAATTTCTATCAAAATTCGTCCTATCTTAATTTTCCAGACTCAATAGTATCGATAGCCCTACCATGGTATTGATACTTCTATACTATGGTATCGATACTCCCTTCAGTATCGAATACCATTTTTGTATTCTCTAATCCATGGTATCGATACCTTCCTCTTAGTATCGATACCCACATCAGTATCGATACTAATTGCATCAATATCGATATTGTTCATCGTATTTCTTCAAATTTAAACCTATAGTATAGGTACTGTTGTTCCAGTACCGATACCCTTACCCAGATTTTCCATTTTTCAGCTCGATTTTTACCCAAATTTCGTCAAATTCCCTTACTTTTACCTCCAACAATACTATTAAGCTCTTCTTTACTTATCCCAACTAACTTTCCTTCATTTAGCTCCTTATAACATCTAATTTCACCAAAGAACATCTCAAACCAAGAATCATACTACTTTTTCTAACATGTTTTTAATCACATCCAAGGCTTCTAATCTCTTATCTACTTCTTTGACAAGTCAATTATGCTTGTAAACATCAATAAAGACTCATATTTCAGCAAATCATTCAAAAACTCATTTTCTTCAATCTCCAATAATTCATCCATTTATTAGTTTTAATCCTCTTTAAACCTCCCTTATGTTTCCACCACACTTAAGGTTTCAAGAACAAACCAAAAGCGAAAGGAAAAAATAGCTAAATTAAGCCTTACCTTTGGTTATGAAAGAGAGCACGAGCAACGAGGGAAGAAGAAGAGAACTTAGCTTGTTTATCCCCTTTCCCCTTCTTGCTTTACTTTAAATACCTTATAAAAAATAAATTTTTTAAATCCATTTCCCTCTAAAGGACCAAAACACCCATACATTATTCTGTTCTTACTAATTGTTCTTAATCAAAATTTTTAAATCATTTCTTATACTTTATCATTTATTCAATTTAATCCTCCAAATTTTAAATCCTTTCTTTATGATCACCAATCCGATACTTGGGGTATTACAATTCTCCCCTTAAGAAAATTCATCCTCAAATTTAAAGAAGTACTTGATATGAAGAGGTATGGAAACTGTTTCCTCAAGTCATCTTCTATTTCCCAAGTAGCTTCTTCTACTTTGTGATTTTGCCAGAGTACTTTAACTAGAGTAATCTTCTTATTACGCAGTTCCTTGTTTTCTCTAGCTAAGATCCGCACTGGTTCTTTCTCGTAAGTTAAATCTAGTCGAATCTCTATTTCTTCGGGTCTGATGACATGAGATGGATATGGTTGGTACTTTCTGAGCATCGACAAGTAGAAAACATTGTGAATCTTGTCCATATCAGGAGGCAAAGGTAATTGATAAGCTACGGGTCTGACCTTTTTTAAAATCTCATAAGGTCCAATAAATCTCGGACTCAGCTTTCCTTTGCACCCAAACCGTAATACTTTTTCCAAGGAGATACTTTCATAAATTCTTTATCCCTCACGTGATATTCAATCTCTTTTCTTTTTAGATCAGCATAAGATTTATGTCGATTCGAGGCTATCTTCAAATTATCTTGGTTAATATTCACCTTCTCCTCCATTTCTTTCATCAAATCCGGGCCAACTAAGTCTTGATCTTTTAACTCAAACCGTAGACTTTTTCCAAGGAGATACTTTCAGAAATTCTTTATTTCTCACGTGATATTCAATCTCTTTTCTTTTTAGATCAGCATAAGATTTATGTCGATTCGAGGCTATCTTCAAATTATCTTGGTTAATATTCACCTTCTCCTCCATTTCTTTCATCAAATCCGGGCCAACTAAGTCTTGATCTTTTAACTCAAACCAATTTAAGCATGTTCTGCACTTCCTCCCATACAAGGCTTGATACGGGGCCATCTTAATACTCGATTGGTAATTGTTATTATAAGCAAATTCCGCTAAAGGCAAATATCTTTCCCATGATCCTTTAAACTCTATCACACATGCCCTTAGCATATCCTCCAATACCTGAATAGTTCATTCTGATTTCCCATCTGTCTGTGGATGAAAAGTTATTCTGAAATTAAATCAAGGACCCAATTTCTCATGTAAAGACTTCCAAAATCTTGAAGTAAACCTTGGGTCTTGATCAGACACTATCGATATAGGCACTCCATGCAGTCTAACTATCTCTTTTATATACAACTCGGTATACTTATCCATCGAGTAATCTACTCGAACTGGAATAAAATGAGCTGTGTTGGTCAAACAATCCACAATTACCCATATCTAGTCCTTTTTACTTGGTGACAAAGGTAGCCCCGAAACAAAATCCATTGTAACTCGTTCCCACTTCCACTCAGGGATGGATATCAGCTGTAGCAATCATGGAGGCACTTGATGTTTAGCTTTCACTTGCTGACATGTCAGACATCTTGCTATAAACTCTGATACATCTTTTTTCATGCCAGACCACCAGTAACGACTCTTTATATCCTGATACATTTTATTCCCTCCTGGATGCATAGTCAAAGGACTATAATGTGCCTCATAAATATTATATTTATTCAGTTCATCATTATCGGGAATGCAAAGTCTTCCACGATAATATAAACATCCATCAATCCTCATTTCGATGTCTTTAGCCTTTTCTTTTTATACTTGCACAATTCTTGCCAAACATTTCTCATCTTGACCTAGAAGCTCTTTTACCCGATCCAAAAGCATCGACTTTAACTTAAGCTCAACAATTAAAGCACCACATTCTTTTAAATACATACGCGCATCCAAAGCCCATAGAGCGACAAAAGTCTTTCGGCTAAGTGCATCCGCTACCACATTAACCTTCCCAGGAAGATAATCGATTATCAAATCATAATCTTTTAATAGCTCGATCAATCTTATCTACCTCAAGTTCAATTTTTTTGAGTCAGCAAGTACTTTAAACTCTTGTGATCTGTATAAATATGGCATAGCTCACCGTACAGATAATGACGTTAAAATTTCAAAGCGAACACTATTGCCGCCAATTCCAAATCATGTGTCTGGTAATTTCTTTTTTGATTCTTCAGTTGTCTAGAGGCATAAGCCACAACTTTTCCATATTATATCAACACACATCCTAATCCATTATGGGATGCATCACTGAAAATGACGTAGTCTTTACTCAACTTAGGTTGTACAAGCACTGGCGTCTCTGTTACAATCCTCTTTAACATTTCAAAACTTTCTTGACATTTCTCCGACCAAACAAAAGACACGTCTTTCCTCAACAATTTAGTCAGCGATGAAGCCAACATTGAAAATTTCTTCACAAACCGCCTATAATAACCAGTAAGCCTAAAAAAACTTCAAACTTCCGACAGATTCTTTGGGGGTTGCCAATCCACTATAGGTTGAATCTTTTTGGGATCTACTCTTATGCCTTGTGCAGAGACTATATGACCAAGGAAAGCAATTTCAGCTAACCAGAATTCACACTTAGATAATTTGGCATACAACTTCTTTTCTCGAAGTATCTGAAGAACCACTCGAAGATGAGCATCATGCTCCTCTCTTGACTTGGAATACACCAAAATATCATCTATAAATACCACCATGAAATGATCCAAGTAAGGTTAGAATACACGGTTCATCAAGTCCATAAATGATGCAGGAGCATTAGCAATCCAAATGGCATTACCACAAATTCATAGTGTCCATACCGAGTCTAGAAAGCTGTTTTTGAAATATCATCCTCTTTGATCTTTAATTGGTGGTACCCGACCTCAGGTCTATCTTAGAGAACACTGTTGCACCTTTCAATTGATCAAATAGATAATCAATCCTCGGGAGAGGATGCTTATTCTTTATCGTTACTTTATTTAACTGCGATAGTCGATGCATAATCACATAGACCCGTCATTCTTTATCAC